AATTACACGCTGCACCTGTCCCTTCCAGGATCCGGTCTTTGTATATGCATGCACACTGTACAAACATGCACGCCCATCTGAATGAGCCCACGCCGCTACATACAGGTGTACTACACACACATGTACGGGGGGAGGGCAGCTGTCAGCAAACTCGGTTTGTCCTAATTGAACCTATTTTTTAAAATGTTTTCAATATTTTGAAAATGTCACTGACTCATGCGTCCAGAACGGGGGAAGAATCTTTCCCCTGGGCACTGGATGACCTTCACTGGAGCTTAGTTCATGGTAAAGGTCAGTTCCCGATTCTGGGTCTAGACTGCTGCCTTTCTGATGCCGGTCATCCAATCACTCAATATATGGACACCTTTTAAATGGAGCGCACAGTACAAACTTCCATCTCACTGGCAATTTGATTAAAATCTATATTTGTTAGAAACAACAGATGTAACAGACACGTTTCGGGGGGAAAGACTCCCCCTTCTTCAGGGCTTGAACAATGATTTGTAATGCAATCAGGATAGAATTACATAGTGAGGCTGGATTGAGGCTGGTGTGTTCTAATGGCTTGTATACATCTGGCTAGATATAAAGGGACAGCCATGGTTGGCGAAGATGTCTGCCGAAGATGTCTGCCTTTGACCCTTTCCATTACATGGTGGATTGATGGCACTAGTAGTTTATACGATAAAGATAAGGGTCTTGGTGCTTTCTTTTAGGCTTATAGGAAGTGACAAGGGCACAGCATTTGAGGCAACATCAACAGGGATTTTCTGTGCTTGCTGAAAATGTTCTTAGCCCAAGAAGTGAAAACTAATGCAGACACCGCACCCACGGACTGATAATCCGTAGCCAGTTAGCTGCAGCGTCGGCTCTCAGGACACAATAGCCACAGCGGGCGATTTGTCCATCCACATTGTTTAGTCCCCTTTCACACCTTCTCATTCCGTGAATACACGCCCCAATGGAGCTGTATTACTAGCATGCCTAGCAGTTATGCAACTTTGGGAGGTTTAGTCATATGGTTTAACCTGGCCATCAGCTAACTGTCAGGATTTCCAAACCGTGACAGGTATGCCAGCTATTTGTAAATGCATGTACCAACACGCTGCGCGGTGCGCGTCGATGGCTGCAGTTCAACAAAGCGATGAGAGCCACAGGCTGCAGTCATCTGCAAAGCCAGAGAGAGAGGAGAGAGAGAGAGAGATATGAGACTGGAGGCCTATAGGCATCAGGTGGAAGGAGAGAGTGCAGGGAGGGTGCTGCTGAGAAATGTCAGGGTGAAGAACAGGGAGGGAAAGAGCAGAGCATGGAGGTAAATAGGAGGTGGAGTAATAGGAGAGGGTGAGAGACAGCTTGAATGAGGAACAACACAGAGCAAATCATTGGAGACAAGACTCAGTGGGAGGATATAATAAATGCACACAGAAAGCCGACTCTGACATGTACGGGAGGGGGACCATGAATAGGGAAGATAGTAGCGGAGGCAACCAGACACATGGAAGATCAGCCCCAGTTCTGGAGAACCATAATATAGGGGCAGGCTACCATTTGGCATGGCAAATCAATCTTTTCTTAAGCTTCCCCTAGGCATGGCGTCTATTAAAAAGGAAAACCACTCATTCCTAAGAGAGTGGGAAAAAAAATCTTTATGACCTTGTAGGATGGATGTTGCTCCCCTGGAGATAGGTCATCACTAAGGGTGTCTCCTACCTTGTCCTTTGGCATTAACAGTAGGATTGATGTTGCTCCCCTGGAGATAGATCAGCACTAATGGTGCCTTTCACTTTCTCCTTTGGCAGAAACAGTGGGATTGATGTTGCTCCCCTGGGAAATAGGTCAACCCCAATGGCGTGTCCTACGTTCTCCTTTGGCAGAAACGGTGGGATTGATGTTGCTCCCCTGGAAATAGGTCAACCCCAATGGCGTCTCCTACCTTCTCCTTTGGCATAAACAGTGGGATTGATGTTGCTCCCCTGGAGAGGTGTCTTCTACCTTCTCCTTTGGCATAAACAGTATGGTTGATGTTTCTCCCCTGGAGATAGGTCAGCACCAATGGTGTCTCCTACCTTCTCCTTCGACATAAACAGCGTGGGTGATGTTGCTCCACAGAGATAGGCATGGCAAATCAATCTTTTCTTAAGCTTCCCCTAGGCATGGCGTCTATTAAAAAGGAAAACCACTCATTCCTAAGAGAGTGGGAAAAAAAATCTTTATGACCTTGTAGGATGGATGTTGCTCCCCTGGAGATAGGTCATCACTAAGGGTGTCTCCTACCTTGTCCTTTGGCATTAACAGTAGGATTGATGTTGCTCCCCTGGAGATAGATCAGCACTAATGGTGCCTTTCACTTTCTCCTTTGGCAGAAACAGTGGGATTGATGTTGCTCCCCTGGGAAATAGGTCAACCCCAATGGCGTGTCCTACGTTCTCCTTTGGCAGAAACGGTGGGATTGATGTTGCTCCCCTGGAAATAGGTCAACCCCAATGGCGTCTCCTACCTTCTCCTTTGGCATAAACAGTGGGATTGATGTTGCTCCCCTGGAGAGGTGTCTTCTACCTTCTCCTTTGGCATAAACAGTATGGTTGATGTTTCTCCCCTGGAGATAGGTCAGCACCAATGGTGTCTCCTACCTTCTCCTTCGACATAAACAGCGTGGGTGATGTTGCTCCACAGAAGATAGGTCAGCACCAATGGTGTATTATATTGTCTCCTTTGGCATAAACAGTAGGATTGATGTTGCTCCCCTGGAGATAAGTCAGCACCAACGTTGTCCCCTACCATCTCCTTTGGTTTAAACCATGGGGGTGATGTTGCTCCACAGAAGATAGGTCAGCACCAATGGTGTATCATATTGTCTCCTTTGGCATAAACAGTAGGATTGATGTTGCTCCCCTGGAGATAGGTCAGCACCAATGGTGTATCATATTGTCTCCTTTGGCATAAACAGTAGAATTGATGTTGCTCCCCTGGAGATAAGTCAGCACCAACATTGTCCCCTACCATCTCCTTTGGTATAAACCATGGGGTTGATGTTGCTCCCCTGGAGTTATGGTGAGCATCAATGGTGCTTCCTATCTTCATCTTTGGCATATACGGTGGGATTAATGTTGCTGCTCCCCTTGAGATAAGTCAGCATCATTGGTGTCGCCACCTTTTGAGAGCACAGTATAGGCAGACAGGATATATTAAGGGGTAAGAGCCAGCACAGTAGAGCAGATAGTACTGTAGGTTGGATAGAGGTGTAAGAACCAGCAGAGTGGTACAGACAGGTTAGATGGAAGAGTAAGAGCAAACATAATAAGGCAGAGAGGTTTGTTGGAGGGCTAAAAGCCAGCACAGTAAGGCAGACAGGTTTAATGGAAGAGTAAAAGCCACCACAGTAGGGCAGGTAGGTTAGATTGAGGAGTAAAAGCAAGCACATTAAAAGGAGATAGGTTAGATTGAGGGGTAAACACCAACACAGTAGAGTAAATGGGTTAGATGGAGAGAAAAAAGCCAGCACAGTAGGACACATTAGTTAGATTGAGGGGTAAAAGCCAGCAAAGTAAACAAATGGGATAGATGGAGGGTAAAAGCCAGAACAGTAAGACAAATGGGTTAGATGAAGGGGTAAAAGCCAGCAGGTTGGGGAGATGGGTTGGATGGAGGAGTAAAACCCAGCACGGTTAGGGAGATGGGTTGGATGGAGGGGTAAAAGCCAGCAGGTTAGGGAGATGGGTTGGATGGAGGGGTAAAAGCCAGCAGGTTAGGGAGATGGGTTGGATGGAGGGGTAAAAGCCAGCAGGTTAGGGAGATGGGTTGGATGGAGGGTTAAGAACCAGCACAGTAGGGAAGATAGGCTGGCTATGTGGATCAGCCTAAGGGTAAGCTGGATCAGTAGCAGCATGGGCAGCAAACCCCATGGGAATATCAGGGGTCACGGAGGAAGGAGCAGCGCCCCTCATGGGAATATCAGGGGTCACGAAGGAGGGGGCGGCACCTCACATGGAAATATCAGGGGTCACGAAGGAGGGGGCATCACCCCACATGGAAATATCAAGGGTCACGAAGGATAGGGCAGCACCCCACATGGAAATATCAGGGGTCACGAAGGATAGGGCAGCACCCCACATGGAAATATCAGGGGTCACGGAGGAGGGGCAGCGCCCCTCATGTAAATATCAGGGGTCACGAAGGATAGGGCAGCACCCCACATGGAAATATCAAGGGTCACAAAGGATAGGGCAGCACCCCACATGAAAATATCAGGGGTCACGGAGGAGGGGCAGCGCCCCTCATGGAAATATCAGGGGTCACGAAGAAGGGGGCGGCACCTAACATGGAAATATTAGGGGTCACGAAGGAGGGGGCATCACCCCACATGGAAATATCAGGGGTCACGAAGGATAGGGCAGCACCCCACATGGAAATATCAGGGGTCAGGAAGGAAGGAGCAACACCCCACATGGAAATATCAGGGCTCACGAAGGAGGTGGCAGCACCCCTCATGGGAATATCAGGGGTCACGAAGGAGGAGGCAACATATAGATGGACAGGTATGAGCAACACTGCAGTGACAGCATAGAGAGACTCCCAGACACTGCAGGGTAACCACAGGAGCTGACAATCTACACAGTAAGGTGAGCACAGCTAGCAGCGGTGGAGGGGAAGGGCAGTCTGTCCACTCCTACATGTGTCTTCCCCATGTATGCTAATAACCCCCCATTCTTAAACAACTCCTGTATACGATCCTATTGATACAATCGTTACCCCCATACACACCTATACGGATCTTGTATACTACCTTGTTGCTGCAGTAGTTGCCCCTATATGTTCTTTATTATGTCTGTATACCCCTGAACCCCCACCCCATATCTATATCACCCTCTCCCTGCCCCGATCCCCCTCTATGCGCCCACACTCGGGTGATGATCAGACGGCAGTGACAGCTCAGCGGCCAGGGATGTGATCTCCAGGAGGAGGGGTAAGGGTGGGGAGATGGAAGGACGTCATGTGTGGAGGGTGGAGAGATACAAGACTCACACATACACAGAGACACTGCAGTGACATAGCACAGGGAGACTCCCAGACACTGCAGGGGAACCACAGGAGCTGACAATCTACACAGCAAGGTGAGTGCAGCCGGGTGTTTGTCTGTCCGCTCCTGCACGTGTCTCCAGGTGACTTCCATGCCGCTGACCTGTGTGAGGGGCGCGGAGACCCGGAGCATCACAGCGGTCTGCATCAGCGCTGCCAGCGCACTACTTGCTGCTTCTAGTATACAGAGGGATGTGATAGGGATCAGCTGGGACGTCTGTAGATGAACTGCTCCGCTGTGTCTGCCATTCCGATAATTACCTCTGCTATGTGTGATACTGCGAACCCTGCTCCCCCATGTGTACTACTGAACCCCCATTCCTACAACTGCTGCTGCAATACTTACCCCTTACACCCTTCATTATATATTATACTACTGACCCCCATTTCTGTATACTGTCTTTTTGTTGAAATACTTA